AAAGCCATTGAACCATTCATCATAGCTCCTATGTATAAGGAAAGGAAACATCAAAAACCACAATCATCTTTCACTCTTATGGTGGCTTTCCTCATACCACCACTCAAGGAGTATTCCAGTATTTATCAGCTCAGCTCCGTAACACTCCTTTCACAAGGCATCTGTCCATATGGAGTTGTTCCTTTGCTTAAAACTGCAAATCTTTGCTGACATTTTGGTTGCTAGACTTGGACTGAAGCTGCATCTCAAGAACAACTTCTTGTACTTGTCTTTCTTTGGAAAAGCTGAGGTTTCATAAAAATGCCTTTTATGAGAGAATTGAACTATTGCGTATGATACATTACAGGCAATGATTAGATTGACCTTACAGAGCTGCAGTTGGTATCTTCTGATGTGGGAGACCACAAAGAGATACGAGAGACTTCTGAAAGCTTTTCTGAAGTTGCAGGCCTAAGTCATACTTAACAAAGAAACTAATTGTTAGTATTAGCGTGACCACAACTTTTTTTTCCCCCAAGGCAAATCGATGCTGATACATCCTGTTTACAATTCTGAGTGATTTTGCAAACCACCAATAGATACATTTTTTAAAGAACAGTTAGAAGTAAACTAGATTCTATTCCAAATCTAATAACTGCTGTAAATGACTGGAATAGTCTCTTATTTCATCCTTCTCATTCGATATTTTACATTCTTTCCTATTACTCAATTTAGAAATGTCAAGTAGAGAATACTGGCTTATTACAAATAGTGAAATGTTTCAGAGAACCAAGAGTTACATGTTTTACTTGTTCTGCATTTCAGAAGCAGGACTGGGCAGGGGCCACATTTTCATGTCTTCCGAATTCTATTTTATTTATTTATTTATTTATTTATTTATTTAAGCACAGTGGTTGCCTGATAGAGCTTGTGAGAACTCATTGAAGGCTCATGCTAGCAAAATTACTTCATTCTGCCAGTTAAAGGATGTTTTAGTGGGGAGTTTAATGGTCCTTAAGTATAAGTAGTGCTTAGCTGGAGATAATTCTGTACACATGCATATCAGTAGTTCACTGAATTAAACAATGGGAACTTTGCATATTTTTAGCCCTTAAGCAGATAAGTTGACCATTGCTATCTTTGAAAGCACTTTAGCCAAGAAAATCTAAGACCTTCTTCAGGTTCATATTTGCTCAATGGATCTGGTCTGTATCGCAAATGAAGAGCCTTCCAGAAGTCATATGATATTGGGCCCTTCCCTTTACACACATACACTTCACCTTTCTGCAGTTTTTTTTTCTGTTTCATGCTCTTATGCTCTATAACAAGGAGTACAGAGGGATTAGTTGAGAACCTTCCTTGCTGCTCACCTGCCCCTTTTTTGCCCTATTCTTCCAGGTCATTCCCTTTCCTGCCATTTACAGAGCAAAAGCAAGTTAGTCTAGTGTTAGAGAATAACACGCTGCATAGATGTACATCTTTCTAAGACTGGAAACCTATTAATTCTATTTTGTATTACTTCTCTATATTCCCTGCTGAAATAATTTTCTTTTACTTATCTTCACTGTGGGATATCACAGGCATTATGCTCTCAAACACAAAAGAAAATGTCCAGCTGTATATATGTGGAGAACTTGGTATTCTCAAGTTCTCCCTGATAACGGGTATTTATCAATCAACTATCAATTAACGGGTATTTATCAATAAGCTGGAAAATATTGTCTCTTTGGCAGGCAAACAGAGCTCATAACGCAGAGACCTCAGTGCTAGCTTATTGATTGTGAAGATTTGTTCCAGTTAGGCTAATGAACACATCGCTCTACCACATACACCCAGGAAGGAACAAGCACAGAAAAACAGCTTTTGAGCACCTGACCATTGTTTCAGATGGAGAAGGATACCTGGCCCTGAAACGAGTTGATTTCTTCTACTGTAAAGCGTCTGTCAGTGAAGAGATTCTGAAAATCTAAATGCAGATGTCTTCCAGACTAACAAATATTCCAGAATAACTGAGAACATTGAAGCTACTATTCATTAATTGCTAGAACTTTGTCATGATTCTGATTACAATTATATTCCATTAACGTAAAGGCATGCTAAAAGCCATGCACATCTCAAACTGAGAAGTATAAATATAGTTTTAGGAGTAGCCACAAAAAAAGAAAAGGCTTACAGATATAGCCTATGCAAAGCCTTAATAGCCTTGTTTTTATTTCGTCAGTTGTTACAGTTCTAATTCTTACCATGCATTTGCGATCATCCACCCCAGCTAAATCCTCTTCAAACTCCTTTCCTACATCAAATTCCATGATGTAGTTTCTAAAAGTGCTTAGCGTTTTAATAATCATATGATCTCCATTCTGAAAGATTTCTTTGTCAGGTTTTAGCAAGTTTGCTATTTTTCTTACAGCAACATTTACATCTGAAAAAGAAAAAGAGAGTTACTTTAATACAGAACATCTACCAGAGAAAGAGGCTTGTAGCTCTGGGGAGAGATTAGGTGAAGGTAAGTGTCCAGATATTTCAGGCCAGCTTGTTAAAAAAAAAGTCTACAGCCCATTTCTGTTGCCTATATTTGTGCCTTGTTTTGCTACTTGTATTTGACAGTTAATAAGGGTACTAGAATTTCTGCAGGAGTAGTAGCTTTTTATGTACTTCATCACACGCAAACACACAAAACCGCCTCAAGTACATTACCATCTCTGTAGCACGCAAAACTTTCACTCTCTCAAATTATATTTGGGTTTTAAATTTAAAGTCTGCAACTTACCTCTTTCAGCTATGTAGTTTAGTCACTACACTTGGAAACTCCGTGATGTCAAAAAGTGGACTGCTTAAGAGAATTTTGCACAGAGCAATTCTTAGTTCCTGAAGAAATTGTTTCTCACAAAAATGCTTTATGACCATACAAGTAGAATAGATTCATGAGAAGATTAGGATAGTCTGCATTTATTGATCACTTACAAGAAACATGAAGGGAACCTTACCCAGTGCTTTGAGATACTCCTCAAAATTGTCATTGCTGATCATTTTCCAGTAACCATTGAAATCTGCAGGCATCCCTACTCCAGGTAATTGTCAAAATCAGCCTCAGGTTCTGCACCTTACAGCTCACTGCCTTTCTTTGTGGCAAATCTGAACTCTGGTTTCTTTTATCTGGTTTTTACACCACGTAGCTATGCAAGTCCTTCTAATCCGATTATTGCTGAAGTGTTGCCTTTAAATCCTTCCACAAGGCTGAACCTCTGAGATTTCTACTGACAGCAGGATGACTTGATTTAAACAGAATGAAACATTCATCTTCCCTGTAACTTCTGTAAAGCTACTGATTATCTGGAAATTCATTTTAACCATAACAATTCTTCTTTTTTAATGCCACTAAGAAACAAGATTCTTTAAATGGCTTTAGTTTAGGTTATTAGCCAAGGCTATACAAATGTATACCTTGTGTGCTTTTTTAAGGGATATCCTACTTCTTAGAGTACATCCATCTATTTTATGCCTTCTTTATGGAAAAGAAGGCCTAAGACCTCTCATACAGCAATTTGTGTCTGCATTAACTTATTCCGTGAGCTCCTTAATTCTGCCTGTTGAGTTGTTTGGGCAGCTGAGGATTCAAAAAGGGGCATTTAGACATAAGCAGCAGTGGTTAGTTCCATACGTGAATAAATACTGCATCACAACAGAATGCACACTCTCAGTTAATTTAAGCAACACTGGAGCAAAGAAGCAGCACTTCATAGACGTTAACTTCTCATATGCCTTTACAGCAATAATTTGTTTCCTAAATAAATAATGTATATATATATATATATATTTTAAATAATACTACTAAGTGATTGAAAACAAGAAACTCTTAAAGCTAAAAAAACTGCATTCTATTTTAAGGTGTAAAGCTATAATGGGATGGAAAGTGCTGCGATTATAGCAGGGTGGCAAAGTCTTTGGCTGCAGCAAATTTTTGTCAAACAATATAAGACATACGTAAGCAACAAATCCCACTAGACTAGGAGAGAAAATTCTTATCTACAAAGATATTGAAATGCCACAGGTTTGTGATTTTAGCAGAAAGTATCTATCATATAACAGAAATCTGTGTTGGCAATATAAAGGTACCTAACTAACATGACCTGCAGGAAGCAAGGGAACATTTGGTTTATAGGAGATTCAAAAAGCATTATTGCTTTACCTTTGTGTACAAACACAAAAGTACAGAAGAAATTAGGCTGTCTTCTTACACCCTTTTAAGTTTGAAGCCTGAAGATCTCTATTCACTTTGCAGTAAGCAGCTCTCTTCCTTGCTGTAAAGAAGAGATAGAAGCACAACCTAACATTTTAGCTGACATCAATATGCAACGACTATCTTACAACTCACATTTTTTCCTTGTGGAGCTACTTCAGGGAAAGGGTACTGATAGTTTTATTCTAAGGGAAAACACTGAGAATTCAGAATAAGAGCACAGAACTCCTATTCAGTTCAATTACTCCCATGTAAGATGCCCTTCTGCAGGGAGCTGAACAAATGCCGTGTTGGTAGATACAACCACTGTGCATTCCAAAATACTAACTATACTGTATTGTTTTAGGGTGCTTTAGCCTCCACACATCACTTCATTACAACCTTATTTCACATCTAATGATTTAGAGAAGTAATTGCCAACTATAAAGATGGAGTATCTTACTCTAACCGAGCTACATTAACTGAATTCTGCACAATCCCAGAGTATGGATGGAGTGAGCAATTATTTAAGGACAAACTTCCTCCTTTGCCATCTTTTAAAATTCACTTCCAAAACACAGGCTTACCAAACATGGATAGCTATTGTAGATGCTGAGATTAGAAAGCTAATATCCTTATAGAACCAATGGAAGAAAGGAGGGCTTGTCCAAGACTGGCCAAGTAGGAGCCTGACTTGAATAACCTGAAGTACACACTGAAAGAATTTCCCTTCCACAAATAAGATGCCTTAAACCAAGCTGTGTATGCCCCCTTGTTTACATCTTTATCCAGTACAGAGAAATCCTACATGAGCAGAATTCTTTATTTCAAAGGGATAATATCCAAGTATTTCCAGTACATTAGACCAAAAGTCCTTGAAGTCTGTATGCTGATTTCAGCAGTGCAAGTTATGACACTTCCCAAACGTACTTATCTATATTTTATTAATTCTGAGCCAAATGTGTACTCTTAGGTTAGAAAACAATTTACATTTTAGTTGCAATACAGAAAATGTCAAGTGCTGGCACTCATTCAGTGTGAAGTAGTAGCAGCTACTCTCTTTCAGAAAAGTGAGTAGCTAGTTTTCCATATCTGTTGAATCTACTCTTCTAGTATATCATGGTTTTATGCAGTCCTGTTTATGTAGTAAAATAAGAAGCTACATGAGGCCCACAGTCAGGCCTTCGCCTGTTTTCCTTCCTCTTTCCCAAGTGTAAGAAAAACCAAAGGTAGAGCAGTCCTCCAGAGCTTGCTGTTAACTCACAGGATAGCTGAAGGCATCCTGTTAAAAAGTGAGACAGAATCAAACTAGGCAACCTACCCACAAGAGAATAGATTTGTCTGGCTAGCATTTGCATCCAAATACTAAGAAAGTCTCTTAGGTATTTCATGTTTTCTATCATGCCTTTTCAAATGGTACAGGTTGAGCTCCATACCACTATTAGCAAAGTACCCTCTATTTTGGAACAAGACCTGTATTTTTTTCCATTTTACTTGTTTACTAAAACATTATGCTGAATTAATAGTTTTCTTTACAAAGAGATGTACCTAGACCAAGTAACATTTTTGAGAATTACTTATTGTAACGTATTGTAGAACAAAAAAAAATGTTTTGGTTTCTTTAGTTTGGTAATACCTTTCCATATCATTCAAAAGTGAAGTCACCTGTAGAAAAAGACAAGGTACATGTTTTATATGACACAAATTTGATCTATGAAAAATTGGATGCATTTTAATATTACTTGGGAAGACGGCCATTTTTAGCTTTTGGTGTTATGCTTTTGTTGCTTTTCAGAGGTTTTTCTTTTTTCCTTTTATTTTGCATTGCTATACATCCAAAAATGCAGCAAGAAAGCATTACACTTATCAGTGGAAAACAACTACATTTTGATTTACCTCACAATGTGACCAAGAACATCAGAAACTTTTTTTTACTGCTTAAAAAGAGGGTTAATGTTCTACAGTCCTCTAGGACACATGATCAACAAGGCTCTGGAATAGATAATATGCTGTAGACTCCAGATCAGAGAAACAAAGAAATCCACGTAGTGGGACAGAGACTGTCTTTCATTTGTAAATCAGGAGGCTTAAAACTGATATGAATGGTGCATTAATTTTTAAAGCACTTGCTTTATTTCAACTTCTCCTATCTGCCAAACAAATGCACTTGTAGCTTACCTTACACTCTTTAGAAACAGAAATTTGGGGTCCTAAGTCTACATTTAGGAGTTTGGTTTTTTTTATTTTTATTTTTAAGGAAAATAGGGAAGTTGCTGTTCATGTCAATTTGCTGCTTCAGAACAATAAGACATCTTCATCCTTAAACTGTCCATAAGATTAAGGAATTCCAAATATGGAAAGCACTACGTCCAACCTTTAAATATGACTGAAGATTATCATTTATTGCTAAAACCTTATTTCCGTTTTTATGGTATTCAACTGACTGTGTTGATTTTATGAAGCACTACAGCTCGCAAGAAAAAAATTAAAAGAGCATAAACTCAGGAAGTTTTGGGCTGATATATTTCCCCCTTATCAAGAAGAAACATCTTTCAAGAGCTTCTCATGAAGAAAAGGTCACGTCTGTCCATTTCACAAACTATGGGCATCTGTCATTCAGCGGGCTTACCGCTGTGTTATGCAACTTCAGAGGCTGAAGCAAGTCACCTTCATTCTTCCGCTCACTTTCTTCTGTGTAGACATTATGGTAAGCAATGTAGGCTATGACAGAATCTGGTATGAGGTATTTTACACTTAGTCCTCTGCACAAGGCTTGGCGTATCTGTGTTGAACTGATTTCATTCTGAATCCATTCTTTCACTAGAAAGATATTGTGCTGAAATTTAGTTAGAAGTTCTGATTCACTGATGTACTGAGCAGGATCAGAGCCAGCACGGCTTACACAGACCAAACCAAACTGTTCTAAGATTTCTTGGATGTGCTCTTTCTTCCAGAGATTGGGTGTCTGAAACGTACGTAGAAAATCAGCCCCACAGAGCAGCTTTAGTTCCGGTGTAACTAGAAAGACAAGAAGAAATAAGGGATTTCTATTCTTGCTCAGTTTTATTGGAAGATTAGAAAAATTATACTTACAATTGTTTTACTATCATCAAATATTTACCTTTTCTACAATTTTCCTTCAAAAGGCTACAGGAATGATTTAGCTTGGGTTTGATGTGTCTGGTCACAATTAATTACCCTACCTACTTCATCACTCAAAGCTGCACTAAAGGAGAAAATGATTCCTCTACTCAACCAATCTGAGAAGGGCAAGGAACAAACAAAAGAGTCATTTTGGCATAAAAGACCAGGCAACAAGGGAGTTAAATGCCAAAATAATGTCCATACTTCCAATAGCTGATGAATGATCAGAAAATGATAGGATTCATAACAGTAGATTCAATCCAATGTAGAAACCCAAAAGGAAAAGCCCTATATAAACTAGAAACTAAATAAGAGGTTTTAAGCTCTATGAAAAGACTTTCCATATCTGTGCCAACAAGAATGTGTCTTTGGCCCTTTAAGGACACTTTTCTAAGTAACAATCTGGGGACAAAGACCAAACAGCTGCTCTTCATTTCTTTTTAGAAAAGTACTATAGCCTTAATTTCAGGATATTGCATGTCTTAAACCAGGAAAATTTTTGCTGTTTTTTCTTTATAAGCATAGCTCAATCAAGAATGGTGGGCAGTGTTTTACAGGGGGAAGGAGGATATAAGCTGAAGTGGAAAAAAAAATCAAAGTACCTGGACTTAAGAATGGGCAAGGTCTAAGGACAACTGCTGTTGGATTGCACCAGGGAAAATGATTTGAAAGGTGACAGCAAAGCTGGCCATGTGAACCAACTAAGACTTGAGGTGCAGAGAAATCAATATTAAATGAAAGTAAGACAGTTAACCATCTCTTGTAATTAGGAAAATATTGCATGCAAAGCTATACTTCATGAATCAAGGCGGAACAGCAAATCTTACCAGAGCAACATTTAAAGAGCTAAGAGGAGCTTTTAACAAACATTAGATAAATATAAATATATACATGAAGTCTATTCAAAGCAATTTGTAATACAGTGGTTTCATTTGAATGCTTAGCCATTGTTTACACTAGTTAGTATGCTACTTTTGAATAAGAACAAAGATTGAACGCTCAAGTGAAGATATGGACATCTAACACCTAATTCCTTCAGTAAGGCTATCCACATTTTATGTTCCTATAACAAAATTTTCAACCAGAGGTGAATTCTGAGCTCTCTGAGAACTTTTCCAGGGTGCTGTAGGCATTATAGGCTATCACAGCATACAGGAATAACCAGAAGAAACTAGTTTTAGTTGTTTCTAATATTTAGAGCTCAGATATTGAAAAATACAATGAAAAAGTCCAAGTCCTATGTTGTTCTGAATGGATAGCATCAATAAATTAATCTAAATTTAAAAAGTCATAATAAGTGTTCTATACATGTCCTTAATGAGCCTTTTTATGTGCAATACGTACTAAAATTACCTGATTTTTGTATATGGAAAAATAAAGAGTCAGCACCATACTCGGGAGTCTTGTAGTTCAGCAAGAAAATATTTAGTAGAAAAATAGTATGCCATGGAATTTTGCACCATGAAATTCAACCTGATCTTTGCAAAAGCTTCATTTATATAGGAGAACCCTTCCTGCAAACGCCAGAGAAAAGCCTGATTCAACAGATTTCACTGATCCCTCACGTGGCGTTATAGAAGAGTTTTTGTGATAGAGGAAACAGGGTGACAGTTGCCTGCCATTAGAAAGTCTGTGCTAACCAACACATTTTTGAGAAAGAAGAAACTGTACCCCATTCTGGAGTTTTCAGTAGCACTCGATCTTTCCCTCCAGCCCATTGCAAGCAACCAGAGAAAGTGGAAAAATCTGTTCCATTCCTTTTCAGTGGTGTGTTTTACATAACCAAGCCCATATTGTGGCTCAGTCTGACAAAGTGCTGCAGGCAGAAAAGGAAAGCGGCAACAGGTTGCAGGACTTTTTTCTGTTCACACTAACAGATTGTTCCCTGGAAATAGCTGTCAGGTAGAATACAAATAGAAAAAAATCCAGGCACTGTGCTCTAGACAGGGAGATCTATTTCTTGCCAGTCCTTCTTCTCACTCAGCTTTTGCTGTACCTTTTGTTTTTAACTTCAGAAAAAAACCTATGCTGATGACGGATTGATTCTAAACCAAGAAACTTAACAGGAAAGACAGATCTGTTTGAACTTCGTAAGGTTTTGTTTTTTTTTAAAAAACAGAAAATGCTACAAAACTCAAAAAGCTAAAGGAAATAATACCCAGAAATTTTATATAATGGAGAATCAAAATAGTCTTATGTACTTTTACACTAATTTTCCTCAGTGTGGTAAGGAGAAAAACGTGACTTACACTTGTCAACAATAATTCCATCAGGCAAGATTCAGCTGCTGCCTGAACGCCACAGACTTTCTCTTCCATCTCTAATGCTACAGCAGCCCATGCTTTAAAAACTTAAATATAACCACAAGTAACAAATAGATTATTCAAGTGCAAGTGTTACAACACTGAAGGTGTAGTTTAAAACATCAGAGGTCCACCCATACTTTAAGGAAGTTAGGGAACCAGATAAAATAAGAAAGCCAAAGCAGACTTCACAGAATCTGTCGTAAGTCTAATGTCAAGGAAGCTTTTCTATCTAGAAATGTAGTTAAGAAAACAAAACAAAATCAGTGCATTAGGATCACTGGTATTGCAGCCATATACTTAGTAAACTGTATAGCAATGACAAATAATCCCTATAGCAACGTTCTTTATTAATATACTCTATATTGCAAAGCAGCAGGGTCACAGCATACATCTGACACAGCTAAAGAGACGCTTATAAAACCAAAAATTAATACAAACCCCAAATAAATCTTCTTGTTGGGGAAGAGTTGTGGAAATCTCCTTATTACGTGGCATTTACTACAAAGTAACAACACAAGCAGTCATGCAGGAGTAGCTTGTTCTTGGCAGGTAGCCTCAACCACCCCAATCAAAGAACTTCCCAGCTACCATGTTAAATTTCATCCAGTTCCATAAAGTTACATTGTTTTAATGCTAAAGTAGATTTTGCTTACATTTATGAACCAACCTGAGCACTGGGAAGAAATGAAATTTCCTGTAGATCTTTCTGTGGGCTGTTTGTTTTTCACAAATTCCTTCTTGGACTGGAGCAGTCTGACTGACTCATTGTAATGGTGCCTGCATGAAAAATAAAGGCTTCTGTGTGAGATAATCCTCTCAGAGATGCACAAAGCGATTACCTGGCACTTTCAGATTCAAGAACACAGTCTGCTTTTATGCACTTTGGATCTGAATACAGTTTGTTAAAAAGAAAAAAAAATCGCTATATTTGTTCTACCATGAAGTAGAAGTGTCATTAAATTTTGCACAATCCATGAGCAATCTATGTAATGACATTCTGGTTTCCAATTTGTTTTTGAAATTCTACCCTTACGGAAATTTTTATAGCAACATTGAATTTAAAGCACTGTGTAGGTTTTTGCTTGAAAACACATTAAATCACACTTGAATCACTGTACTTAATTTATTAAATACGACTCCTCAGAAACAGTATTTCTGTAACACATGCTCTTTAAAAGCATTCAGGAGGAAGTACTGTTGTTCTTCCATCCTCTTCTCCACAAGAAATACATTTCCTGAGTTTCAACTGTATGCTTTAAATTAATCACAATTCAAAGAAACTCAAATTACACAGCTCAAGATTTTTGCACACTTAGTATGCTTCTTAATTCACTGAACTGAGGTTTCACGAGGATCCTTTCATCAGTTTTTCCAAGTTTCACTTTACTCTTTTGCTGCTCCAAATCCTTGGTGTCCCTCTGTGTACTATCACCCTGTGGTAGTGGCACTTTCTTACATTCTTAGAGCAAGCACCAATTTTACATCCATACATCTCCACTCTCTTCAAATCAGCAAAGCTTTGCCTGTGTAAAACAGGCCCTGGCTTGCCCTGTCATAAGCCATGCTTATGCAATGCTCACATTAATTGGCACAGCCAAGGACTCGCACCAGCATCACATCTGCCTAGTATTTACACATCCAAAGTGACTGTGAGGTCTTACACAGCTGTACCAAAACAGAGCCTGTGGGCTCTAGAGTACAGCTCTGTCCTTAACACTGTCCAAATTCAGAATGCGTACAAAACTGTAGATATCTTCTGAATGTCTGGCCTAAGGAATTAATTTAGTGATTTTAAGTGTACACTCTTCAAATCACACTTGGAGCCACAGAAATAATTTGCAATTATGCCAAGAATATACAGCTAGCCAGGCTGCATAATTATCCGCAGTCATTTTTGTTGCTCAGCCATTGGCTAAGGGAACTGCATAGACAAGGGGTGTGGGACATATGGCAGGAGAAAGTAGGTAGCAGTAGCTTGGCCTGAGCCTTCCTACATTTCTATTTTTAATCCTTCCTTCTTGTAAACAGGCTGATGCTATGTATAGTCAAGTACACTAACTTCATGTCATGGATTGACATTCTTGGGCCTCGATTCAAAACCAAGATTTTTTGGCAAGGAACTCACTGCAGGACTCACAGCACAAGCAATGCAAAATCTTAACTGCCAAAAGGTCTGTTCAGCAGGCGTTTCAAATGCTGAGGTAGGGAGAATTATGTTATTTGAAAGAGATATCAAGAAGGACAAGCCAATCTGTCAGTTTATCAAGCATTTTCTGAAGTCTGTACGAAACTTTCAGTTTCTATATAATTAAATCACAAGCACAACTCAGCAGAACTTGTTGGGCAAGACATAGTATGAATTAACTTGGAATTCAAAAAATGTCTGTCTTTACTGCAATTACATTTGCACTACAAGAGGAGTGAGTGTAGTTCTTTGCATATTAAAAATACTCTTCCTTGCCTAGGAATATTCAGCCATGGCAGCTAGTGAGGAAATAACTCTATCATGCTACCTTTCATTGTTTTAAGAAAACAAACAAACAAACAAACAAACAACAGCCTAGGGATAGCCTCCAAAATTTTCACGCTCACTTAAAGTAAAAGGCAACTAATGATGCTTCCACAAGCAGGATACAGCTCTGGTGCTTAAAACTCTTTTGTGCCAAAACTATTTGTTAGTCTCTGCAAAGTCCAAAGATTTTGATTGAGAGTGACAGTTTCTTCACACTTAGAAGTAGTACTTAGGAAGAGGCCATTCATGACTACTTTCAGAACACAAAGTTCTGCTGAAGTGTACAATTCAAAACACTGGTAACAGGAGGTGTTTTAAGAAATTATACGAGCATGACAGTTACAACGTAAGACCCAATTTCTTAGCCATGCCATTTCATTAACGTACTGCTTTTCTAATCTGAGCTTTGTCCCTGGAATAAGTTCTGTTTTCTCTGTTTCCAGTCAGAAAGTAAGGTAAAAGTGTGGGCAGGAATGAGAGCTAATTAATGCTTCTTACAGGATGCTTGCTTTCCTGAAGAATGCTTTCTTGAAGTCTTTTACTTTTTCCACAGTACAGGTTTCCAAAGGTGGTCAGCAAAGGAAGTTTGTTTTTATACCTTGCCACATATTGCATGTGTTATCAAGATAAAGCTTATAGAAAAAAAAGTACATTTCAAGGCAGGTTTCAGGCAAGTTCCTTCATTTTTCCTTCTAGCACAGTAGCAGCAAACTCACTCATTTTGAAGAGCAAATACGGACTGGGGTTTAACATGACGTTAGAGTTGATTAAAATTTCTTATCAAGTGTGAACAGATAAACCTGTAGGCATAATATTGCTAAGACAGCTAACCTAGAATTAGCTATCTTAATACATTGTTTGTAAACTCCTGTAATTTTGAATTAAGATACCTAGTTAGAGAGTTAAAACCACAGAAGTAACATGAGAGTCAAGCACTCTGCATGCCGAACCCTTTCAATGACTGAAGTTTTGCAGGGCCCATTCTTGTTAAAGGCTTCCAACACAGCATCTACTGACTTAGCAAAAGAGCAGTACTTGGTGGTATCGTGTTGGTCTGGGCAAAGCCTATCTGCTTTGCTCTAGGAAATGAAAGACTCAAATGGGGAAATAATGATTAGGACAACCCTTCTGAAGGAAAGGGACATGAATTTTTCACTGCCACCTCCTAAGAGGTGATACCATAAACAGACATGTTCTGCTTTGCTTGGATGTTTTATATGAACAAATTCCATGCATTGATCTGACAGGCTCAGATTTCTAGCAGTCAGACATTCATAACAAAGAAAAAACAGTTCAGTTACCTTAACACTTTTACTGTCTCTGTCCATGACTCCTGCTCAGTCTCCCATGGATCAACTCGAATCCAATCAGATGTCTCCAGTGCTAATTTGGCCATTGCTATCCGATGCTTTGCTGAAACCAAGCCTTTCTTTCCATAGACATCACTGACAGGAGACATTATGCCTTCAATCACTTGGTATCTTCCTTCCAGAAAGGAAAAGAATAGTCATATAGTCATCGATAAGCATTTTGAAAATTTAGAATGGATGGAATATCAAGAGCTCATCTAATGTAATCTCTTCTTAAAAGCATGCTTAACTTCAAAGTTACAGGGAGCTGTGAACAACCAGATTTAAGTCATGTTTCTAATAAGAAAACAGCAATTTAAAAGAATTGAAAAACAAGCTGGCTGTTTCTCTGAGCTAGGACTACCAATGTGTTTATTCTAGACAAAATAAAAGGAGAGGTAAACATGCAATTTTAAAGCAAGCAGACAATTTATAATTTGTGTTACAAACTATCCAAATTGCTGGGTAGAATGAAATTCCATATTCCAATAATTGTAGCAGTACAGCTTTTAGGCAGCCAGAATAATGGATGACTTAACTGACCGATGCTTCGTTCTTAAGTGCCTGCTGCTTGTTATTTATCAAAATCATTGTGCCTCTCTATCGCACTAAAGCAATAATTACAGCATATTGTGATGTAATTAATGCAAGTCAGACAAATAAGATGATTCAAAAACAAAGGTGGACTAATGGGATTTAAGATTAGAAATCTATCGTCCAAACATCAGCTGAGCTGACACTAAAAACCCCTTGTATCTCACAGTGTTAATTAAATTTGAAAACAACTGTATTTTTTCCCACTGTTCTAAAGTAGACATTCATACAAACTCTTTGTTACAATTTGCATTTCTGGGTTTCTGAGGAAACAAAACTAGAAAAATGTAATTTTAATAAATCAGAGAAATAAAGTACTGATAAGAGTTGCATCCCTTAAACTGTGAGAAGGGAAGGGGTGTTTCAAACAAACAACTGAAATGGAGGATTTCTAACACAACACATACATTTTAAAGAACCACCATACATATGGTACTCAAGTATCTTTTTTTTTTTTTTAATTCTGTTTCAGCAAAGAAACTCAGAATGCAACAAGTTCCCTCTAGTCCTCCATAATGAAAATGATTGCCCTGGACTCAATTTTTTAAATTAGGACATGATAATTCAATATTTTAAAATTAAAAATTACAAATTAATTTTTCTAAAATAGGGATACAATTTTCAAAAGAAGGGAGATGAAATTTAAAGAACATTAAATTCCAATAGGATTTACAGGCCTGTCTCCTATGAAAATGACAGCCTAACCCATCCCTTGTTTTAAAAACATTTTCAGTATAGGCAAAGTGGTCAATAGAGTAAGGTAAGAAATGAAACCAACGGAATGAGAAAAACCACAAGACGGCTAACACTTCAGGTACTGGAAATCAGACAGTAAGAGTTTGAGGTGATTGAAAATCCAGCTCTATCCAAGCAGAACACACAAGAATCTACAACCTACAAATACTGGTGTACAGCCCCAAATTACTGACTCTGGTAACTTGTGTCCTCTTCTGTAATTCAAGAGTTCACATGTTCAAATATGTGCTTGAATCTTGGCAGCACACAAAGAACAAATCATTAAGTTCTGCCACCTTCTTGCTTGCCCCATAAATCATTCCAGGCAGTTTCAAACTTTCCTTGAGTCAGAATTACCTTCACATTGTACTTCTTCTGAATGCTATCAATTGCATTCAATTGTGAATTCTGTCTTATTGCCTGTTCTGATGTTTAATTAAAACCTATTGTTAAAGCTACACATTAAAGTACAATTAAATACAAGTAACAGATTAGATGAGAGCAATTTTTTTCTTCCAGGGTTCAAGAACCTTAGTTCTTTGGGGCCTAGTTGTCCCCCATATATGCATACATACATGTTTCACTGACAGTTTAAAGTAGGAGCGCATGAAGACTTCAGATAATTATGCTGTATGCATTTGCCTTCTGAGCTTTAAAGGACTCTTGGTGTTTCCATTATTGTATTTAAGCAAACTTATTGTTCCCCACGCGCAGTTTTACTGTTAGAAATTTTATCTTCTCTTTTAACAGGGTTTTACATTGCTAGAGTTTCTCTACTTAATAGATAAGGGTAAATGTTTTTTGAAGATGGACTATGAAACAATGTCATCACCCATCTTCCTCTCAGCATCATACAAAAAAATCCATGACAAGCTAGGAAGCTCTACAGCTCCATGGTGTTATCCTATTCAATAGCAGGAATGACCCCACTACTCTTCTTCCCTTTGTCACCTCCGGAGCAGGCTGCAACAGGTCAGTCTTATAGCATTGCTTTATCTCATTCCTCTCCCAAAATGCTACTAAAGGCAGCACTGTTTTAGCATTAACAGTTTTTGTAAATTTCATTCCCTGCTGCATACTTCCTACAAAATTTAGCCTCTTGCTTTTCTACAGCTAAGAATCAGACCAATCCATTTAGCCATTCTCATTAGTTACATCAAATTAACTGCCCAAGTCAAGTCTTCAGGGTAAGACTTCAGATTTAGAGGATACCACTATAAACAGGCAGTGCCAACATATAGTCACAAGGAATTCATGCTAACTTTACTGTGTTTAAGATTTTATGCTTTCATATGACTGAAAACAGCAGATGAATCATTTATTTTAATATCCCTCTCAAAACTGCAAAACTTTACAAATTTCACTGATGTAGGCCTACATAAAATTATCATGGACTATTACTAATCTCATCTCTAGGCTGCAATGAAACTCCTTATTCTGTTTACACTTTATAACAGGAAAAGAACAGGCTTGCTGTTAGTATTTGTGATACTGTTTAACAACTCAAAACCAGGAAATAGATACATTTTCACTTTCTGCATACATAGATGTTAAAGACCATACAGATCTCAGCCTATTCTTAAGCTGACAGATTTTCACTCATTACTTATCTAAACATAAGCCAAACCAAACTCTCTGGGCTTGGCTTTTCTTCCAACTCTCCCCTGCAGTTTGCCCAGCTCCCTTAACAGCACTGAACTCAAGACTGACAACTGACTGGTCCACCAGTGTGAAGAGAATTCAACCTCAGTGCTCTTGGTCACAGAGGTATGTAGGTATGCCTGGAAAATAGAGCAGCTGCACGAAGCAGAAAAGCTCAGAAAAACCACACATTCAGATTCAACCAACTTAAAAAATGTCTCACCCAGCAGAATATCCTAAGTCATTCTACTCAATTCTACTTAAGACAGTTTACAATAGCTTGTATGAACTTAATGGCATGATTATTTGTGCTGTAAATTCCCTTGGACTGAGGTTAACCATTCCTAGTTTTCACTAGTAAGGGGATTCTTCAAGTCCATTAAGACATCAATGGATACTGATCAGAAGCAGCATGAAAATTGCATGATGCAGGACTGCACATTTTTGGTACAGAGTTCTGAAGGTTGGCCCAGGAAATTAGCATTTTCTCTGCTTCATGAGGCCTACATTACCCACAGAACAAAGAAGAACAAAATGAGTCTGATAAGCAATTTGAATTTTACCACTGTATTTACAAAACATCAAATACATAAAGCAAATCACTGATTAAGGCCTGCTTTGTGACAAAAACGGCAGCTATTTCAAAATGCAGTAGAGTGATGTTAAAACTTAGTATCAAGTGCTGAAAATAATTAGTCGCACATTGAAGTCATCTAAAAATGCAAAAATACCTTACATTAAAGCTTGAATTTCTTTACTAAAAACCGGACATTTACATTTCAGAATATGATTAATTGGATTGTTTAATTTCTTTAATCTATCTTCTGTGAGTACACACACATTAAAATCACATAATACAATTCTGTATCGAAGTAATAGTAATAGTTTTCCTTAAAACCATAAGAGATAGCAATTACCCTCCCAGAACTCTGACTATTAACATCAGGAAAACACAATAAAAAGCTTTCTAATTTTCCCATTAAAATCACAATATTAGCTTTATTTATAGATTATAATTAACTGGGGAGGGATGTCTAACATCTTTGTTCTGATGCCATAAAGCACAGGAAAATGAAAAGAAAGCATCAAATAACTAGATAGAAGAAACCCCATATAAGACTTTTTCAAAACTGTTTACAGATAAACATCAAAAGGATATACTCCTATGCTTACCTTCCCTTCACATGTATGTAGATATTGCCAAGCATGAAAAAAAGGAAAGAAAATAGCAAGACTTTTTACTTTGTTCAGTAACCTTCTATGAAGAGAATTCAATAGAAGGAAAATCAAAGGGGTAAGCAATTTAGCTGTCATTGCACTGAAAGTCAAAGTAAACAACAAATACATCAGAACAATAACAGACAATCTTTTATGATAGCTCTTCATAGGATGGATGGCTTTACCTTCACCACTTCAAAGTGCTTAAAGATGCATTCACTGAAATAGATGAGGTGTGCGAAGATCGTAGTGACAGATGCCACAGGAGTAACTAGAGAAACATATATCATATCCACCTGGCTGTGTGAACAACAGGGCCTGAAGATGCACATTCACCCCTACAGTTGGACAGCTGCTCTCAAACACTGAGACTTCAGTTACTCTGCCTGGGGATGTACAGTGATCAGTCCTTGAACAAATGCTGTACATCACACTTAAAATAAGCATTTTATTTCAAGACCTCAAAATACTACTTAGAGTTCACTGAATTTGGACCACATCACACAGCTTGCTGTCATCCACAAACTTGCTTAAGCTGCACTCGATCCCACTGTCAACACTGCTGATGCAGGTATTAAAGAGTATTGGTCTCACTGCAGACCTTAGGGACACCACTCATTATTACTCTCCATGCAAACATTAAGCCATTACAATGAGTATGATCTCACAGCCAGTTTCTCATCCACTGAACACTCAAATTCATATCTTTCTAATTCAGAGTCTAAAGGGCTTTGTGTGAAAGCCCTTACTGAAATCCAGACAGATTATATCAGTGGCTCTTCCTTTGCCCACTGATGAAGTTGTGCCTAGAAGGCTCCTAGAAGGCTCCTTCATAGGTCAGGCAGGACATGCCTCTGGTTGTCTTGCATCACCCTCCTGTCTTCCACGTACCTTAATACAGCTTCCAGAAAGACCTGCTCCTGGATTTTCCCTGATACAGCAATGAGGCCAACAAGCTTGTAGTTCCCCAAGTCATCTTTCCCACCACCTTTCTCAGGTTCCTATTGCACCAACTTCCTAGGAAACTCGCTGTCAGGTTCCAATAAGCATGATTCCCTTCAAATCAATTTCAGATGCGTATGCTTCAGCAGTCAGAAGGAAGATAAAAGTATCAGCAATAAAGACGTCACCAAGCACAGAGCACAACGCCCCTTCATAGCTTTTCTCATTTTTGCTAAGTTCCTGGTGTTGCCCACTTCTCTCCTTTGTTACTGAAACTCTCTAGTCATCTGGAATCTAACTTTTCTTATCTCATTCCTAAAGACATTATTTTGCCAGAGGAAATAAGTTGTTTGTCTTAGAGAGGATGGATAATGAATAATTAAGTTTTCAATTCTCCAGTTTCACCTAGTTGTCAAAACTTCTTTGACATCACATAAAGATGAAATAAAAAATGTTTATTTCCAGTTTCAAAGCTATTAAAATCTTCCACAAAATTGTCTATCCCATATGATTCTAAAACTGCTGATAAAACTTACAGTTCAGTTGTATGGGTGTTCATGCCTCTTTAAATTTAGTGCTACAATTTCAATATAAAATATGCCCCAAACGTTTCACATTGAATCATCAATAAAGAAATTAAAATTAAGCTAACTGTAGATTTACATCTTAGCTATACCGAGCACCAAAAGTGTCTTCCCCTCCACAGCAAAACACCATGTGCTCGTAACAACCCCTCACTGACCTGTTTGATGCAGGTGATCTCTAGCCAGCTCAAATAAACGCATATGCATATTTGTGATGGGGTTAAAGGAGCCACAAGCTAGAAGAATGAGAGGTATCCTGCTCTTCATTGACATGAAGATACTGAAACTTCACCCTAAAGAAAAAAACAGTATAAAGTAAAAGACAAACTTGGCTAAGTACAGTCTTCCCATCATTCCTCACAACAAAAGCAGGTCTCTTTTCAGAATCATGTACTCTTGACACACTGGTAAAGTACCAAATGTTCAGTTAGCTGTGTCATCACAACACAAAGAAATTAGCTCAAAAATGCAGGTTTTTTTTCACACTAATTAAAATTTTATTCTCTCTGTATAGAAATAGCTAGAAACTATTTCTAGAAATTCATGTATTATTATTATGAAGAACCGTGAGGTTTTGACTTCTCTTTATTTTTAACCTGTTTTTGTCAGGAAACAACTCCTCATACTGTCCCTCTGTCAGCTTCCTATTAATAACTTTAAAACCTGTAGGCCTGTCAAAAGCAAATTTTTAATTTTTATTTTAAAAATAAGTTGGGACCGGTGCAACATATGGCAAAAACCCACATGCAACACCAAACCTACAGGTCTGGCTTCCTCAGAGGTAGGCAGACAGCCAGCCCGCACATACTTTATTAGCAGCTGCCTGTATGGTTTCTTCACTGGATGGCAGACAAGTGACAGCTCAATGATAGGGAGCAGAAGCTATAACTGTTATACAGGGGACACTAAAAATCTATGGATATGGAGAATGGGTGGGGAGAAATGCTTGAACTGAAAATAATCTTTATACATTCTAGCCAACTTCAGTCATCTCAATACCAAAGCAGTAGAAATCAATTTTAGTCACTCTGCTTAGCACTACTTGCTTAATTCTATTTACAGAAATGATTCCAGTGGTTATGACCTACATACATATCTGCAGTTATGATTTTTAGGTGTGCTCTCATTTCCTCACATTTGAGCTTAGCATACATATCTGACAGCACTATTCCAAGTCCTTGTATTCCCTTATTTTTTCCCCCTTTTTTTAATCTTATAATTTGAAAACAATGGTTAAAAGAAAGCCACACTGAAGCTTCATAGTTACAAATTCTATCAGATGATTTATAGAATTTATTTTAGTATTTAAATCTGCAGACTAGGACTGCATTCCAGGTACACAGATCAACAGTTTTTAATATTTTCACACTTGAAGTGTTAGCAGTTAGAAATTTTTTTCGTAGAGAAAACTACTTGAAGCATGTGCTAAGATTTCATTATCTAGTACTAAGTGCACATTAAGATTTCCCCCGTCCCCTTTTTACTCATTTCTCATATCTCCTATAATCCTGAAGATATACCACAGGCAAGAAGACCACGGCTGGAGAGCCATTAGAAGCTAACAGCAGTGTGATGGCCTGCAATTGCAGTAGCTGTAGGAAGCACATTGTGCAGCTCTGCGTCCCTCTTCCTTGGTTTACTAACCCTGTCGAGGCACTAACAAACTCATGCACAAAGGCTGCCTGCAGTCTTTACAGGTTCCTTATTCAAAAGGAAACTGAAACCAAACTCAAAAGTGCTCTTTGCTCAGTGCCAGCAATTCAGTAAATCTATCATAATTTTATTATGAATGACTTGGTTTTTTTTTAACCTGTTTCAAGGAAGAAAGATACCTGATTGACTGAAAAATAAGTTGAAAAAATTTTTAAGCGTTCTTTCCTGTTTGGCTGACGTAGTTTATGCTTCCTCTGCACTGCTTTCCTTGGCCATGTTGAAAGTTATAAACTGAAAGATGTATTTTTTTTTGTTTGCTTTCAAAGCAGCTCTTCATTCTATACACTTTTTTCTCACCTGAAAAAGATACCTTCAATTGTTGGATTTCAGCGCCTATTTAAAAAAAAAAAGAAAAGATCAAACAGAAAACAAGGTAAAAGGTATTCCAAAATATATTTATATGGAAACAGAAGTACAAATAATAATCAAAAAGACAATGCTGTTATTCCCAGTACCCCTATGCAGTATATCCTAACTTACTCAGCAGGTACAGTGTAGCTTTTAAGATCTCAAAGAAACCTTTCAGGTTCAGCTGCTCTTTCCTGGGTTGCCAATTCAAAATAAGTAAACCTGGGCCTAGAACACTATCAGGTATGGATCATCCCAAGCTGTAAAGGCTGAAAAGCTGAATTCCCAAGAAAACGTTCTGGGTACCTCTCTTCTGTTAGACTGAGGAAAAAAAAGGATGTCTGGAAAGGAATTCCAGCTGGAGTGAACACTCCTGTATTTTGAAAATCGTGTCCGAGTCTGCTTTAAGATATCAGCTCCCTACGCAACCATAAATAGAGTATACCATTAAGAAGGAGAACAGAGGTTACACAACTCCCCCATTCTGCTACTTATTCTTGTTCATAGAATTGCCAGTATGTTCTCTGGCTTCTTTGTAGCTAGTAATGTATGCCTCATGCCAAAAGTAAATGAGGTTTCTCCCTACAGACAGGTATCTATTAGCTACAGACTAGTGAACCTAAAGTGTCTTATACAAAAGCAGATAAAAACAATCTAAATCAACTCATTGCTCAGAAAACAGTCCAGATTCAGTGTTGAGACAAGCTGACCCCTCCCAACATAAAACGGGGCAAAGATGGATTTTACAGTAACAGAGCTAACCCCCATTAGTACATGCCTTGGAACCTTCCATGCTGAAAACCCAGCAGCAATGCAACATTTGCCTAGTGAAAAATCACCATTACCATTCACAAGAATTAGATAAAGCACGAGTAGCATATTAATTTACTAAGCATTTAAAGTAATTGAAGCATCTCCCCCATGTGAACAAGAACGTACACATACAAAAATACATAGGAACAAACAAACAATCCATAGATTTTTTAGCGTAATTCCTAGAAAAAAAATTAAATGTAGAAGAAAAATTAAACATTACAATATGCTCCTAACCAGTTTACGCCCTGTAATGCAGTAGCAGTTACAGTAAGTGGGAGAACACCTCTGTATCCCTAGCATTACAAACACCTCCAAACGTTAAAGTCAAAGTGACATGTATTTCATAGGGTGCCACTGAAAAACATTGAAAGTCCTAGAATACAACAAAACTACTTCCACCAAATTAATTACAATACCAGACATTATCATGAGGACTATCAATAATCACACACTGAAAAAAGGTTGACTCACGTAACTGGTGATGAGGACCTCTGGCTACAGAGCACTCCTCAAGAAGAGATCTCCACACAGGAAACACTCTCCCTCCAGGCTAGCCCTTAAATGAGCCCAGGAAGGGGTGGATCTGGGATCCATGGGATTTCCAGTCACATGGGAAGCACAGGTAAGTTGTTTGCACCTGCGCTTCCTTGGCCAGCCACTCCCTTCACCAGGTGCTCAATCATCAGTTCAGGCCATGACCTAACAGTTCCCCTACACCCATTGACTGGCTTCCTCAGCTGAATACAAACCACAAACAAGTAGGTGATTGTGCTGTCACCAGGTGTTTCTTCAGTGTGCGTATTGTGCCAGGGGAAAATATTTGTTTTAATTAAACTACTGCTGAGTACTTGGATAAGTTGTCTTCCCTTGCCTTCAGACTGAAAAATAGTGTTTAGTAGCAGCAGTAAAAACCTGTGTCAATTTCAGTATGCAAAAACTGATTTATACCTATTAGTTGCTGTACGTGTTTGCAAAAAGCAGCCCAGCTGTCATATCACCGACGTACCTAGTTAAATAATTAATCATTCATTAATTTGTTCTCCAGCAATTGTCCCTATGTAATGCATCTTCCATTAGTCATGCCCTGCAAAACATGGTTGCTCATAAGTGTTTACTCTTATTGTAGCGCCCAATCCTAGCTGAAAGATGAAATACTTTTGAGAAAGTACATGGATAATTCAACTGTTCTACTTCTGTGGTAATTCTGATGAAATAAATACTAATTAGGTCAAGTATGTACCTTGCTTTCTAACAGGAAAAAAGGAACATGGAAAACACATAATATCTGTAGATTGGAAAGGGAAGAAAGGACAGAATGTACCATATCAAATTGGATTGCAACCAAGAAGGCAAATTTTCTCTTAGGGATCTTGATAACTAAACTTTAGGAGTGCTTCAATGTCGTGGTGCTATAAATCAGCAGAAAGAACAATTATTCAGCACTTGTAGAAGTCGGGTCTTCATTTCTGCTCTTCCACTTCTGTAACTGTGAAAAAGGAAATAGAATTGAACTGTTCCAGAGGCTGTCTCTGGCTTCATGCATACCAAAATTAAAGTGACCTTATCTGTAGATACCTACTTTGTGCCTCATCCTCATATTAATTATTAGATCAGTGATAAATTATTGCTTCTGTGTACAAGTTAAATGTCCCATAATCATTACAAAAATAATCTCAGAAATCCTCTGAGGATGACTAATTGAACAAAGGAATCACTTTTGTACTTACAATCATTCTTGCACAAAATGCTCTACATCCCCAGAAACTGAAGTGAATATAGGAGGAAGAAAGAAAGAAAAAAAAAAAAAAAAAAGCACCAACCACTACAAACCTCAATTATACAACAAACTCAGAAAAGATCAGGTAGTACTTATTCTGAACAAATTCTAGTACTGGTATTGCCCCTACTTTAAATAAAAGTACCTTATGCATTACGAGGAGCAAGACATTGTTGTGCACGTGCCATTTTAGGCCTTGACTTTCCTGTCTGATCCAAGACAGCTGTGTGCTTCCCTAGTACATTTAGACATTGATTAAGCACAGGCTCCAGAGGAGGAATTCTAGCAAATCTTCCAAAAACTACTTTGTTTCACATCATTTTCTTTCTAGCATGCTATTACTGAGTTTACAAGGCAGCATTGTTACTACATCAAGTTCATTATTAAAAAAAAGTTAAGATCTCCCTCTTGCTAATATTAATCATTTTTGTTTATTTCTTTTTAAATGCTTGGATTTTAAGAGTTAAGCCTCCCACAGTCTTTATTTGCTATAACTTCCAAAGTCCCATATTCCAAAAGCAGAAATAGCAAACCGTGTGGCAACTTTCTATATCGGTTGGGTACTCAGTACTGGGCAGACCAGTTTCAAGTCTTCATTTTGTTGAGAAAAGGGGCAGACAATCACAGAGATAACTCACATTTGTAACCTTCCACCATAATAACACTTGTGCTTTTGAACTGCCTTCATGTGATCAATGACTTGCTGCCACTTTGCTTAAAACCAGCAAGGTTTCAGCAGTCAGCTTTGCTACTCAAGTGCTTGCCGCTTTAGCGCCATGTCTGTGTGTGCCTCAAAACATTAAACCAAAGTCCAAGCACCTGAAATCCCCTAAAAAATAAAAAAAACAACCCACACAAAAACAACCCTTCCACTATCCTGTATTTCAGAATTCTGTATTTACAAAGCATTAGTGAAAAATGTCTGCTAAAGAAACATATAAGACTGAGCTGCACAAGCATTTTTTAAAATTTTTACTGATAAAACATTTTTATAATTGTCTATGCTACTCTGCAGCAAGATCTCATCTTCTGTTTTCAAGAATTTTGAAACATTTAATAGAATGCTTGGGATCAGGTCATTTAACATCACATTTAATCAAGCAGAAGTAGTATGCTTTTTTTTTTTTTTTTTTTGAGTCTGTTTAGTTTTTTTAAACCAATTCTTGTTTTAAGAAACCACTGCACTTGATTTTTGCAAAGAATGAATAAATTTTATAAATACATCTCCCGCCATTTCAGCTTCCCTCCTGACATGACAGACGCTGCCTTTTGTCATATTTCTGATTAGTGAAACATTACACAGCTTTTGTCACCTTTGCTGTCTTCAAAAGTCAAAAATAATGGAAGCAAGAAAAAGCACAGCTTTGACCAGACAGCGCGAAGGTTTTGCTTTTAATGACCAAACGGATGACTCAAAGAATAAGGCTCAAAGAAGACAATTAACAGGTTCGCATTTCCTGCAGCAGCTGTCTGGCTCCTGGTGAGCTCTTCTGATTCAGGGCTGCACACGCTCCGCCCTGAGAACATGTCCCAGTAGCCTTGGCCAAACTGATGCCTTCTTTCTACATGGTAGTTGCTATGGTACTGCCTGCAGTGTAGAAAACTTTCAACAATATGGCACACCATGCAGTTATACATAAAAGGGCAGATAGCTTCAAATGAGGAACCCTCACTTAAGCAATGCAATAGATTATATGATGGAAAAAACTTCCAATTTTCATTAAAAAATTTCTGCAAGTTCTTATTCTATTGCTTATGTTCCTAAGTACATCAATAATAGATGACGTTACAGATGACCACAGTTAAATTCTGCTGAAAGTCATTAATTAGAGCCATATCTGATTAATTATCAGAAGCACAATGGAGTGCTGAGCAGAGCAGTCTGATTCACGAGCTGTTAAATTAGTAAACTGGAGGAAAAGACACTGATACGTGCACACTGTGAGGCGGGCTCACCCTTGAGGTAAGATTTCTGTAAAGAGCAGAAAGAAACTGAATTTCAGCACAGGATGAAAGTGTTATCTCCTCCTGTGAGGGCAAATCTAGACTAATTTATATAAAATTTAGATTTGAACAAGTTCAAAGCTGCTCATATCCTTTCTTTCATGGGGTCACATCGTTATCTCGTATAAATTTATGTAGCTGCACTGAGCCCAGCTGAGTTACAGTAGGTGACGCTAAGGATGTTATGGTTGTAAGACATTCTCAAAATGAGAAAAAAGTACATTTTACCAGGTAACTAAAATCACAGAAGACCATATTACACAAATAACCCTTAAAAATACGATCAGGTACCTGAGATTTTTCTCGTGCTGTTACTAGTTGGGAGCCATTGCTATAACAGAAGTTAGTCCATTCTCTACACTCCCAAGATGTACTTTTGCTGAAAGCAGTCCTCTGTAGCAGTGACATACATACCTACACATCCACCCTTTCCACTTTAATAATGATGATAACATGAATATCTGGGTAAGAGAAAAATGAAAAATGTATAAAATAGGGTGGTGTTTTGTTTGCTTATCAGAAAGTTAGTCACCCCAGCCAAGAATAATTTTACAAGGTGGCTATAAATATTATTCACAGTTTAGTATGACACTCTAATCCTCTAAAATGGCTTTTTCAGGGCCACATGACAGATCACATAATTGTTAAATTCCAGTGACTCAGGTGTATTGCATTTCTTTGACTTTCATTGAAGAACCATTAAGAAATTACATGGTGGGATACATGACTTTTGATCATATTCAGCATTATCCAAAAGATGAAGTTTTCCCTTTCAATCTCCATATTAGAGTTGTGCAAAAATGAAAGCCTCATCTCCATTTCTAAATCAGCTTCAAAGAAACCCCTGAAACTAACCAACTCCAAGCTTGCTGCAGGATTCACCAGAGCAACAGCATATGCAACTTGACAGAAATCATCTGTTCTTACCCCTTCACGTATCCGTGAAAAGGACCCAAAGCACACAAAATATTGTCTTTAGAGGTGTATGGCATTCTTGTGCTTAAACAGAGGATAGGCTTAATTTTCGAATACTCACCATTTTTCCTTCTGCTTCGTGCAAGCAGTAACTTCCCCAGCAAAATGCAGGGATCAAAAAGCTATCAAATTCTTAAGCCATTAGAATGGAAAGCATTACATACATTTCTTACAGTAACATATGAATTTGCCTAGTAACACCGAGGACTTGGCATGGTACATTTACCATGGTAAATGGTTCCTAGGCACAGGATTTCACATGGCTTCTTGTCTTTATATTTCTATTAGTTAATCAATTTAGAATTTCTACTTGCTTCACCTTTTACAGTCAGAGAGTTCAAACCGAATAGACAAAAGCATGTGATTTGTTATCACTCAAAATGCTTTGCTTGCTCCTGAGAATATTTCATCTTTCATTTGGTATGTAACCAAAGAAAGAATTGGCATTCTGGATCCACTGGGCTGGACAGACCTCTAGTCTGACATTATGGCATTTCTTAGGGCTTTTGAGATCTGCATAATGCTCCATAAGCCTAATGGCTAGTTTCTTAGTTTCTATCTTAGTAGTAAGAAAAACGCAGAGTGCTTGGCGGAAAGCAAAGCTTCTGCAGCTTCTTCAGTAATGCATTACAGTAAGCCAATACAGGGAAACATCAGGCTGCAAAGTCGCTCTGGAGATCTGGCAGCCTCAGGGCAGCAGCACCCTGCAGCCGCGGGGCGGGCAGCTTCCCCCAGCTGCTCCAATCTGCCCTGCCAAATGCTGCAGTTGGTGCTCAAGCATCTTATAAAATAAGACCTTAGAAATCATCACTGCAATTATGTGATTTATCTCATTAAAGTACTTTAAAAGGCAGAACCTCAAATAGTTCCAGTTCGCCTTTGACAGGACTGTCACCTTGTGCTCTCAGTGCCCTTGGACACCTCTGGGCTTCCCCAAAGTCTTTCACAAATTCTTCTAGACCATCTGAGTGCTAATTAGCTAACTGAACCTAGGCTAAATTGTACAATTTTTCTAAGTTTAAAGCCATGAAGTTAGTTTGCTGTTAGAACTGTGTGATCTGACCAGTCCTAAACTACAGCTACTAATGATCAGGGATGAACTGATTGCGCACTGTATTGCACAGAGCTTAAGGAAAACAAACACAGCCATGCCATGGCCCGATGCCTGCTGAAGTCTTTGAATAATGCAACGCCAGGGATCATTTATAAATCCAAACACCAGCTGCTGCGTGAGAGGGGAGATGGCCTCAGAGACTGAAGGAGGGGAGACAGAACGGTTACACAGTGAAAGCTAGGGATTGAAATACGCCTGTGTAACCACAGACATCCTCGTCTGCTTTAACTCACCGACACTCTGTGAAGCGTTTGGGAAAAAAAGCCAAAGTTCATTTATCAGCTTTAATTACCGTTCTAAATATCCTTCTGTAAAATATACGGATGTGTATTGCTCCTGTATTCTTCGGGAGCAGCGCCGTACTTTCAGTGCCGAGCAGATCAGCTCCACGCTCAGGCACGTAATAAACACGTCCCGCCGTCCTGGTGGAGCCGCTCGGGTTCCAGCATGGAGGAGCGGCCGTTTCCCAACCCCCTCGCCGCGCGGCGCACCCCGGGCTCCCGCCCCCTGCCTGGCCCCGCAGGAGTCGCCCAGCGTTGCCGCTGCCCCCCAGCCCCGGCCGCCCCCCGTTCGCCCCGCACCCGCGGCTCGGCCCTTACCGCGCGCGGCCGGCCGCTGTTGCTGAAGCTCCCGCGGCCCCGCGGCGCCGCGTCCCTGTTTCTGCTTGTAAGGAGGAGCGGAGCGCTGCGGAGCGCTGCGGGCCGCGGCTGGCACCAGCGAGGTGGCGAGGTCGGGTTGCAGCCGAAACGTCGGTGCGTTCCGGTGGCTTCGCTGGGGCTCCAGGACTTAAAGGGAGCTTGTGAACAGGAGGGAGATTGACTTCTTACACCGTCTGATAGCAACAGAGCAAGGAGGGATAGTTTTAAATTAAAATAATGAAGATTTAGGTTAGATGTTAGGAGAAGATGGTTTGGCACTGGCACAGGCTGCCCAGAGTGGTTGCCACATCTGCAGATGTGCTCAAGGTCAGGTTGGATGGGGCCTCAGGTTCGATCCGCTGGATGGAAACCCTGCCCACAGCAAACAGTTGAAGTGAGGTGGTCTTGAATGACCCTTCCAACACAAGCCATTCTGTGATTCTAAGAGCACAGATCTGCAGTGGTGCTAGAGTCTTTAAGTGTATCGGGGATGAAAATATTAAAATCTCCAAATTATTAACATGCAGTGATTAACAAGACCAGGCTTTGGCCTGGCTTTGACCCACCAATTTGACTGGCTGCAGCAGTGCTGGTATATGATATTAGCACTAGCAAAATAACTGCTGTCATATCCTGCATCTTGTTCACATAGAAGTGAAGAGGCAGCACTTACCAAGAAGGAATGGCATCCCTGTTTTGGTGGGGAAAGACGAACACAGCTTGTCCTTATTTTTTGGTGAGTCGGTGGTGCACAGACTTTGACTTTCTCGACTTTGTGCATTGCTTTGTATGTCACATTCTTCTCCCCCACCAGCTATCAAGTATTTTGCAAGTATCCTTGCACAGTGGGAAGTCCAGAGAGTTTAAAGTCATATTACTTTTTCTGCTTATCAGCAATAAGAAAACAAGTGTCTCAAGAATGTCACTAGTTGTGTAATCTACCCCAAAACTTCTAATTACCACAACATTAACAGGAAGCACAAATGCTTACATGATATATAGTAAAATGTATGGGATTGTGGAATGAATTTTAAATTTGCTCTTTGAAATGTGCATGCAAAAGGTAACACTTCACTGCTGCACTGAGGACAGAAACTGCCCTTCAGGTCTGTGTCTGACCTTGCCTAATGCTGCCTCGGGGGTGGTTTCAGCATTTGGAACTTTTACTTGTGACTGGAAGCAGAGCATGTACTCTTAGGCACCACTTTTGCAAGTCTGAAGACATAAATTAGATTCCCCAGGCAAGGCACAAGCTTAAAAAATGTAGTTAAGTATAGAAAGTGTTTTGTCTGTTGCTTTAAAGCATATATAAATTCTGATGTTTCCAGGCCTTTCTTCCTAATGCTAAATCTACAACATTATAGAAACATTAATTCTCCCAACTCCTTTGAGGGAGAAAAAAGCTAGTTAAAAAAACTTCATAAAGCTGACATTCCAGAGCAAAATTGATCATTTATTTCTGCTGAGCAGGCTTACTGAACATATAAAGCTTATTCTAAACAAGAATAGCTAGAATTAAAACCTCCTCTTTGTATATTTTAAATTACTTTTATATATTTGGGGAATAAATAAGATTTCCTATAAGGGGAAACATTGTGCTTCGTTTACAAAAAAAGAAAAAAGAAAATCAATCTGAAGATTAAATCTTGTACATTAAGCTTGAAAACTGAGGGCAAGCACCCAAGTTAACACCGTTAGTGCAGCAGCTCTGATGGCAGTGCTAACTGTGCTTGCTGAGGAGCTTCACCATTTCTGATGCAGACTGTCATAGTTGTTAAAATAAACATTTCTTTGTTGTCTTTGAACATAAGTTTCCCATTTCTAATTTTAGAAGCTGTTTAATAAATAGAATGCTTCCTGAACTCAGTTGTATCTGGAATAATTTGCTGATGGTAAGCATAGACACCAGTAGGCCTGATCCTAATTGTGTTCTCTACTGCATCAAATGAATTGCAAACAGTTCCTGAAGTGCCTGGATATGAAAGAGATTATATGGGAAAGAGAAGAGTGTCAGGCAGGAAGATGTGCAAGAGCAGAAGCATTTGGATGCTGCCCTGTAAAGGAACAACAAACAACCACAGAAAGTTTCAAGTCAGTTATGGAATATGAACTAATTAAGACCTATTTTTCAGCAGTTAAATTAAGACAAAGTTACCACTACAAAATCACGTTGTGTTCTGACAGTTACTCAAAGATAATAGATCCCACTCTTTATTACACTGGTGTGTTCCCACAGGTTTCAATTCTGGTCTGCCTCCTGTGGGAGTTTGAAGAAACCCTACCATCCTGTTTCTATCCCATTACTGTGAAGTTGGAATGCTCACATCTAGGTGTAAAATTGTGATTATGAAATCCCAAGCCAAAGTTGCTCCAGATGCTATGAATCAGCTTCTCTACCAGAATTTGGCATTAGCTGCAGCTCTTGAGACAGAAAGCTCCCAGGGCCTTACATAAGATGTGCATGCATCAAGGCTGTAGAATTAGGCCTTGTAATTGTAAAACCTGCCAAAAGAGCAGCACAGCAAGTCAGCGTAATCTGCTGGTTCTTGGCATCTCAGCCTTACTGATGTGTATTTCAGTGCAGAAAAAAAATCAGTTGGGAAGAGATGGAGAAGAGAAACATGAGAGAAATGTTCATTAACCTTTACCCTCCATAATGGCATTGGAAAGCATTAGCTTCAAGTCTTGGCTTGGACAACAAGGCAATCATTCACTCAGCTTAATCTATGAAGTAAATACTCAAACTTTTATTTTTATATTACTTAAACGCTGCAGTTACAGCTAGTTTGAACATTACATCAAATACTACAAATAGGGTGGACAAGATGATGTTTACTTGCTGTAAGTGGAATAATTCTGTTACTTGATTGCTATTAGAATTGAAGGCAAACATTAGTAAATCAATTTTTTCTGAGGCAGACAGTGGAAATCAGAAGGCTAAAATGCAGTACAGAAACAAAGCAAAGCAGACTCCAGTGTACTGTAGTTCTCTGGAGCTGCAGAAGATAAATGAGCAGAGGTAAAGAACAGGGCAGCACACCATGCTTTATTTGAAAGCCAAGAAAAAAAACAACTTAAAAGGGCTCAAACAACAGTCATAAAACTTGACTTAGCTGCACAAAAGCCTTATCTGAAAGATAAAAACACTGAAAGGCAGAGAAATAAAAATTTCTCTCAAGTTTTAGGCTTCACAATGATAAAAGCATTTTTTTGGGCTCAGGTGAACTGGACGGAACATTTGTGCTTGGGTCATTTCTTTTTACTATTAGAGAACACTGTATATTTTTAGTTGTTTGCAATTGTTTGTGCCTTTTTCCCTCTTCTCTCTCTAATCCTCTTATGTTAGTAAAATTCTGTTATTATACATCAGTTGTTTCTTGGTAGGACTTTAGGTTTGCCTGAAGTTTGGTTTCACCTTTTGTTTTTGGTCATTTTTCTTCCTTGTAGTTTAAGCTTCAGCAAAATTAAAATAGCTCATTGTGTTTGCATAATGTTTCAGATATCATTACAAATTGCCTTCCCAGAACGGTATTATTGGCTGACAGAATCTCAGCAATGGGATTATGTTTGGCAGTGTAGTCATTCCAAAAAAAAGGCAGAATATTATGTGGAAATAACATCTATGCAGAGAATTAGCACGAGCTTTTCAGTGCAAAAAACTTAGTTTTTTCTTTCCAGAGGATTTTAAAAAGGCATTGAGGACCTTTCTTTAAATTCTCACAGGATATAAAGTATCTGTTGATGTATGTTAGTTTGCTACTGTATTTTTCCTCTGTAACATGTGGATATTTTTAACTGTAGTATTGGAAGCCACAGCATCATACTTGCTAAACATCAACCTTTCTTTATATGAAGTCTCTAAACCACTGGAAATTTGGTATCTGGTAGATCTACTAAACCAAAAGTGCAAATAATGCTTCTATTATAAAGAATACATTCTTGTTCAGCTGACATGTTGGTATTAACTCAGAATGGACTGAAACAAAAAACACTTTTGCTTTAACATGTTTTTGCCTAGTAAAGTTATCATACAGGGAAGGGGCTGTAATGCTCTACATAGGCAAACCAACAACAAATTTCTCATTGTGAAGCAGTTTGCCATTAGTACTGGGTGCCTCCCTGCATGTTATGGCCTAGCAGATGTTACTGTGCTGAGAGGCTGCAGGAAGAGGAGATAGGAAACTGATATGAAAGCCACAGTCAGACAAGGTCAGTTTCCCACTGCAGCAGAAGCCCTAATAGTAACAACATTCTAAGAGAATACATTTAAGCTTTAGAGCTGTTTACCATCAGCAAACCAAAATAAGCATTAACTAATATACACATCAGTGAGAGAGTTACAATTAGACAGAACAATATAAAAGGAAAGGCACTACAACAAAAATACAAGGGCAGAAGAGCTAGCACATAGAAAGGTACTAAAAAGGAAAACAAAAAGATTACTCACCCATATCAGAAGGTTCTCAGCTTCCAAAGAAAAGCTTCATAAGGAGAGTTCTCCAGAAAAAAAAAACAAAACCCAAAGGCAGTCAGCCCTTAAATGGGTCTAAGAGAGGCACAGCCAAGCTGCATCCCTTCCAGTCACACAGCTGAATTACCTTCACCTGTGCTCCCAGGGCTGAGGAGTCCTTTCCCCAGGTGCTCAATTAGTGATTCAGGCCATGATTCAACAGTTACCGTACAGATAGTAACTTGCATCTTTGCTTTCTTAACCCGAGCAGAACCATTCTAGCTTTACACTGGTGTACCTGAGAGGAAGAACAGTGCTTTGAGCACCAAGATTCTGTGTGAGGCACAGAAACAGTCCTCTAATGAATGGAATATTTTAAACTAAAGTATTTCTAGTTAAAAAGAATCATTAGTAAAAGTGGAAGTATATCACAGTGGCATATTTGTTCAGGTAAAGTTTTGATTATATAGTGCTTGTTGATCACTTACATAAGTAAGGTAAAGAGAAAACAAAACAAATTAATAGCTTGCATTTTCATAAAATTGGAAATCGTACTGTAGAGAAATGTGAAGTCATGGCCTGAAGCAGTGATTGAGCACCTGGTGGAAGGCAGGAGAGCTCAGGTGCATGCAGTGTACCTGAGTGACTAGAAAGGGTGGAGCCAGGATCCAGCCCTTCCCAGACCTCATTTAAGGGTTGGCAGTAGAGGTAAGAGTATTTTGCTGGAGATCTCTGCATACCCTTCTGATGGCAAATGGCTTTTTTGTTTTGTTTCTGTGCCTGTAGCTGTTGTATTTGGGCAAATGCTCACTTACTGAAACTTAGGCCTTTGTTGCTGCTCTTTCTATCACATTGCACTTACTCAATTCCTTTTTACAATTTCAGTGAGAGGACTTTGTAGTTTTTCACTACGGTGTAAAGAACTTTTTCAAAACCTTGCAAGTCTTTGCTGTTACTCATCTGAGCAATAGGCTTATTGTTTCTTCACTCCAACCTATGTGGGTAATCCAGATCTTGGTTTCTGCTGTTATAGCCTCGTGTGTTTGTTGAATACGTTTGCTGTTGCTTTTTAAGAACAAACTACAGATACAGAATTTTTTCTCAAAGAAACCTTTCTTTGTTCTCCTGTCTTTCTGGCATTTGTAGAAATTGAGGAAGCCTATGTCTGTTATTTATCAAACCTCTGGTAGCACACCAGAGTTCTTGTATTCAAGCAAGCAAGAACATCTCAATTGGTCAGCAGTGTGCTTCTAGTGTTTGGAGTAAACACACCAATATCGCTGTTTTTGCAACAACATCCTTTCTGTGCACACAGTGATCATACTCATGCTTGTTAAAAGCCATTGAGTTTCAGTAGTAGCAGAAAGTGTTATGCAGGTGTTGCTCAGCTTCAGTGCCTTTCCTGTGTTGCTAATGTTGCCATCCTTCTCATAGTCCCAGTCGTCACTGCTGCACAACATGGTTTTAATTAAAAGGTGTGATCAAATTTGTTTGTATTTGTACACTTTTAAAAACAGCAAGCATTGTACCTCAAAGAAAATATTAAATGTATTGATTTACTTAAATGTAAGTGTCACACTTACCCTTTTTAAATGTAGTTCTCTTTATTGATTTATGTTATCATTTTGTCAGGTAAGGATATCTCTCAGCCTTCAGTCTAGATTTCAATGGTTTGGCTGGAAGATTAATTAAACTGTTTTATATAAGCTTGAAAATGATATGATGAGGTGTAAATATAATGCTCAAAATCTTGATTTTAATATAATTTAATATAAAGAATCTTCAAAAAAGCAGTACTGTGCAGCTCAAAGCATCAAGGCTCTCATTTATCTTTATTGTTTCTCATTTAAGCCCAGATCCACGCTTACATGCCAGATGGCAACTGCAGAGGAGTTTCAAGTTATAGCTGCAGTAGATGAAGATAAGTGCCTCTTGAGAAAGGGAAAGCCAGATTGCATATTCCTTTCAATTGCACCTGATGACTTATTGCTAGTCACTAATTGGTTTGTCCATACACAAGCAATTCAGAATCTGACTGCAGTGCCTGACTTTATCAGTAGTTCTCTTCTTCCTGCAGAGATCACTGATGAAATAAATCCTTACAGCAAATAATATTTTATAGGAAGCTATGTGAAAAGCAGACCTAGAGTCTTTTCTCTTATTGTTACTGTCATGTAAGGATCTTTTTTTTTTCAGGAGAGATATAAAATTTTGTGTAACTGTCTCTGTTATAGTTGCAAATAACTGTCTGTGATCTGCTAATATTGAAAGGACAATGTATGCATTTTAGGAAGAGACAGATCTATGATCAGTGCATCTTTGCCATTGAGACAGATGTATTTTTAAAGAAAATCAGACAATCTTTTCTCCCATGTTCTCCCAATGCATTTTCATTTTAGTCCTGGGTGAGACATTTAACAGAGAACCAAGAGAGAGAACTAAGAAAAGTGAAAGATAACTCACGAATGAGAAACTGCTCTTTTATTTTCTCTACTTAGAAGCTATCAGCAGTGAAATGCCTCTAGAGCTTTAGAAAAGCCTTATTGCTTTCATTGTTGTTGATGACAGACAAAGTCTGGGTAATGGTAGAGTGTATAGCCAACAATGTAATGAGCCCTTTAAAAGGTGAAGTATCCACTTAGAAGCCAGCACCTTGGTAAAATGAGCTGTTAGTGTTTGCTAACTAATGCAGAGCCTGCATTGTCTCCCGAAGTCTTCAAATGAAAAGCATTTTCCCTAGACATGTTTTCTAAATGTGGTAGCAACCGAGGTATTTGCAAACAGAAGAAAAACAGCTTTCTGTATTATGAACGCCTAGCAGTTGTCCTGAAGGAGAAGAAATATAAAGTCAGACTGCATAATTAATTCTTAATGTTCTGTGTCTGTGTTGTCTGGACTACAATTATACACAGATAGGCAACAGTGAGTGTGTGTGTGAAGGGACACAACACTTTAGAGCTGTAGCATCATGTAAGTAGATGAAGAACATGAAATATACTTTTATGTAAACTGAAGTAAAATAAACCACTTGGAATCAATCATACTTAAACATATTCTCAAATGTGAGAAAGTTCGAATACTCTTAAGTACGACAGGGTCACATCACATCTAGAAAAGTGATTGAAGAGGTTACAAACACTTGAACAGAGATACCAATTGTGCCTTCTGACTTACTGCTGCTGAATCCTCTTTTTCTATTGAGGGCTTCATAAATAACACAAGGGATGATCACAGACACCAAATCACAAGCATCCAGTCACGAATGGAGCAGTTTAATGCTTGGATTGCTATGCAGTCAAACCAGTAATAATTAGGAAAACGGAAGTTAGGCATCTTCACGTTATAAGAAATTAGTGAATGTAGATATCTCGAGTTTTTTCTCTATGTGGGTTCAGGCATAAATGATGATAGAGCAGTCCTACTACTGAATCTGGCCCAACATTTTGGCAGATAACAAGACTTAAAATCCTTTCCATTTATGCAAAGGAATTTCTTTGCCACTTAGCAGCCACGCATAGGTGAAATGGCACTCAATTATCAGAACACAGCAGCTTCGTTGGTGTCTAAATGCCAGACGTGAAGGTATATATCCCACTGAATACATGGGACATGTAGGTAGGCCCAGTTGTGTGGAGGAGGGTACGCTTGGAACTTCTGAGTATGAGTTATTGTGGTAGTGTGCTCTTTTGAATCAGACTTTAGTAATAGTGATCTGGTGCTTGCATGAGAGCTTTGGAGGGCAGCTTTGGTAGTGATTTCTGCAATGACCTTGGCAAACTTTGATCTGCTTTAGTACAATGCCTCTTGAGATACACATACAGATTGATGGATAAAAATGTTCACAACTTTCCTTTCATCTTTCAGAAAATCTTTCATCTTTGTAGTCTGTAGCATTCTATAAACCCTCTGAGGAAAGGTAAATAACTGCGAAGTTAGGGAAGAAAGTCTGCTACAGTTTTAAGCATCTTGTGAGGCTAAAATTTTAGGATTGGGATGGATGGCTGGAAAGACGGAAAGAATTACAGTAAGCTTGTGAAGAGATGCTTGCAGTTGTCAGAGAATAGTTTCTAACAACGGTAACATAAAAGCATATTCTGTAATTATCACTGTGCTGGGGGAGGAGGGAGAGAGTGTTTTCAAGAACTGGATAACTGGTTAATGTATCACTACTGATCTTGCAGAGCAGCATAGACCTGCTGTACAACAGGAAATACTTTAAGATTTGTCAAGAAAGGGTATAAAAACTGTCCCCCAGTAACTCTTCTTGGAGTTTACTTTCAAAGCGTTAGATATTGTCATTAGTTGGAGGAAACTCAAAGCCTCCAAACGACCATTAGTGTACTTCTCATGGTAAAGTGACATGACTACTTTTAATGTGAATTTATTGCTCTTAAAGATCCTGGCTTGACTGATGTACCACAGACCAACTTACCTGTAGGAACAAAGCTTCAATGAGGAAAGGGCAGCTTGGTTAGCTAAAAGGTCATTTAAATAATGTAGAAAAAAATTGCTGCTTTTTCTCCCTGAGATGAAATGTTAATTGTTGAGAAATTTAGAGGTTGTTTTCTTCAGAACTGTTTTTCTTCTTTCTCGGCAGCACTGTGTCTGAATTCAGTGGTGGTTGTGTGACCCTCATCAGTAGCTTTGTGCTGATAACTACCAAGGCTGCTGGGCCCTGATTGGCATTGGTCAGAGAGAGTAGAGGGGTTGGAGGATGTTTGCTTTCTGAGTCAGAAAATCCTGTATTTGTGTGCAAGCACTTTGTTAGAGACCTTTTTTTTGTTTGTTTGCAGGGGATGACAAGTCGGTATGGTACAGCGGGGACTTCCTTACTGCTTTCTCTTATATGAGAGAAATATGAGTAAGAGCAATTCTCTGCTTTTTTTTTTTAACTTGATCTTTTAAGCACTATGACCACTGTTTTTATTTGTTAATACGCCATAGCATATGTATCAGCAAATATGGCAAAATGTAATTCTGTTTTCGAGGTCAGGCCTGTTACAGGAGCTGCTGTTTTCCAGGTAAGGGTTCAAGGTGCTTTTCAATGAGACGCTGCTTTAATAAATCATTTTGTATATATATAATAGCTTACACAAGTTAGGATATTAATTTCCAAGTGGTGCTCGTCATGAATATGCATTTAAAAAACCTGAGCTGAATAAAGCATATGGCCTTTACAACATCTCAAGACCATATCTGTAATTCAGTGTGCATTCCTGCTGATACACAGACAAAGGTGAATTACTTCCAGACAGAAACATGTCAATGCTCTATTGAGTAGTCAATTATTAAACACGTAATGGAATCTGAGGTTATCAAGACATACTCAGAATATATCTGGGGTGTATAATTTCTACCAGAATTGAACAACTAGATTATTACTAAAAAATCCAAGCAAAATCATACTAGCATAGGATTAGAATGAGTTACTGCTCTTGCTGTATGATGGATGAGAAACATTTGCTTCATCAACCTCCTGATGAGCTAATTTCAAAGTCCTATGCATACACACTTAGAAATATAACAGTAAGCAACTTTTTTTTGCCCTCAAGAAATGATCCATCCAATTCCAAAGAATGGAACATTCCTTGGAAAAATGATGATTTTGAGAACCGAGCATGAAGGTAGATGTTGCAACGTAAGTGTCCTGAGAATTACCACGGTAGCAATTTGGTTGAATAAAATAAATAAACGATTAAGTAATTGCTGAATGATGAGAGAACTATTTCATGAATGTCACCTGCTTGAAGTTCCAAGTGTTATTCCTTCACCTAAACCTATGGTAAAGATTTTATTTATGAGGAGAAAAGTGTATTTGATGGTTGGAAAAGCATTTCGAATAAATTACAAACATTATTCAGGCTGTGGCTGTTAGTTTTACTGCAATTATATATCAGGATGAATACATTGGGTCTCTGTTCTAGTGCTTACTTTTTATTCACTTTAGGCAAGTTTCAGGTTTATTGCAGTTTGCTGGAAGGTACCGTTTAAATCAGCAGAGCAGTGTGTCAGGCTGGCTCCATTGCTTCAAGTGGGTTTTAGTAGAAATTTATCCTGAGTTGCCTTACATGTAATTTTGAGTACTATGAATTGAGATATTACTGTGTGTTTTTATGGCTCAAAAAAAATTCTCATCTGTGATTTTTTTCAACAACGCTTCTCACCAACATTTTTGCAGTGTGATTATAGTTACTTGCACGCTCCAAAAGGAATTGCAAAGTCTCTCTAACTTGATTCAACAGGTTGCTGTTATTTTCTTTTCCTAAGAGATTTGGGCGGTACGTGAGGCAACATTCAGTTGTTGACATTTTGTGCCTTTTAAATAGGAAATCTGTGATGCAGGCTTTAAATGTATGAATTGGTATATCCAAACAGAAACAAAGTAAAACTGCTGAACTGTAAGATATCAGGAATGTGCTGGCTAATAAGACTGCAAGTGCAAGCTAATATGCATTTATGAAAATAGAGGAATTCAAGGACAGAAGCTCAGAAGTGGAGGCTGTGCAGCTCTTTCCTAGGTAATCTTTTCTTCTAGATGTTTCTTCTTGAAGTTGAATGTAGAAGTGAGTTCATTCTGCAATCTGTATTTCACTGATACTCTCTTAAAGATGCTCAGTGTCACTACATGATGTCGTTGTTCAAGACCACAAGGACTTACATGGTTATGTGCAAAAAGCAGCTGTTACTTGAGATGTGAGAATAAAAGGAAACTTACAAAAGAGATGGGATAAAGTTTCTCAGTTTATGTGTAAGATGTTTAAGTGCATCTCCAAGTAAACAATGTGAGTGTGGGCTTTTACTGCAATAAGTAAACAACGTGCCACAATAATAAGCAAATAACATTGTTTTTCTTCATGCTATAGTATCTCTCATAGTGACAGATTAAAAGTATCCTGTAATAACTTCCTGAAGTTAACTCATTTTGAGTAGGCTTTAACAAGAGACTCTGGTGAGAACTGAGCAAATGAGAGTATCTAAAATTACCAGTCCTAAGCCTCAACTTATAATGTGTCATTAAATCCCAGCCTTCCAAGCATTGATATTCTAACAAAGCTCTGCAAAGAAATCTTTGTCACTAACTACTCGTACTGCTGGGAATCCTTTAATTGAGGCCTTCAAGTGGGACCCTGCCTTATTAATAATGAACTTCCAGCACCTGTAGCCCAGGCATTTGCTCCTGCTGTCACTCTGCCTGGCCTTTGTTGATAAGCTCATTCATCCTTCTCCTCCGTTTAGTGATCAAGAAAATTCTCATGTTGCTTTTTGAGTATCTTCTTGATACCCCAGCAGGTATAATTGCTTGTTATTACTATTCGTAACGTTGCTGCTTTTGAACTTTTACTTTGTTTTGTTCTTCCAAGAGAAGCTTATGTGATTAACGGTGTGATCAGAGCATGCAAAAACTGTCTGGAATATGAAACTATCTTGGTATGAAGGAAGAGCTCCTTTATACGAATGGGATTTTTTCTCTTATTCTTGTAGTTGCCACTGTAAACTTCAGAATATGCCTTTATCCATGTAGCAAAGCTTCAGGGAATAATAATCTATTGTATTAAGGAAAGAAAAAAAGAACACCCAAAAAACTTTCAGAAGGAGGATATTGTTCCAAAGGCTTTGTTTAATTTTTTCTCATCCTCCCTGTGTTAAGGAAGAGAGAAGGTGGTAATGGATTTCAATAGCACCGCTTATGTTCTGCTGAAACTTGGAACTGCGTTCTTTCCTTTGTTCAGTTTCCCTGTATTTATCCTGAATGTGGAGCCAGGCTGGGGCTCCTTGGGCTGTGAAAGGGCCAGGTATGTGCTGGCTGCAGCACTGCTAGTGCTTTGGAATCTGATTCTATAAACCCTAGTGGAAATAAGATGAATTTGTGTGTAAAATACCTTCTGAACCATGAAGGTAGTGTATGACATTGACTAGCTAAAAATAGAGCTGTGATTATGCATGAAAGGAACAGCATCACTTTGGAGGAAATATTACTTGCTTAAGCAAAAATGTTAAAACCACTTGTTTGTAGACTTTAATTTTTGTTTGTGTGCAATTCAGACAGCCAAATAACTACAAAGGGGGCAGACTTACTGCAAAAATAAAAGAGAATCACAGAATAACAGTGAAAAAGAGGAGGGAAAAGAGGCCCCAAAGCTCTAATGTGTTTTGGTTTTGAAATGCAGTGAGTTGAGTAGTGCTATATTTAAAGCAACTCTATTTCCTCACAGTTGGCAAAGAATGGCAGTGAGGTGAATAAAGCATCATAATCCAGGAATAGTTCAACCGTCCACAGATACGATATCACTAGAAAATGGTGTAATAAGGAGGGGTAGCTTACAGGGAACACGATGTTTAATGTATTCCTCTCCAGAGTTTTGTGAACCCATACATAGTAAGTGAACAGTGAGCTTGGCAGTAAACAGCTCCTCTTGTAAAACTTTCTGCAGTGACAATGCAGGTGCTCGTTATCTCTGAAGTTGCTTTATAGCACTGGATTCACATTTCCTATTAATTTGACTTCCTTTAAACATGAATAGTTTGAATCAAAGCAGTAGTAGGAAAGGTGCTTTTGATTTACCAAGACCTGCAATTCAGTGTAGTTAATAATGTACTGCTTTATTCAAGAAAGGAATTTGCCCTTAAGTTAGAATAAGAGTTTTTCAAATGAGGTGCTTTAAAAACCTAAGTAACTTTTTCTCCTATCAATCATTGGCACATTTTACAGGGGAGATGCAGATCCTTAAAACATTTATTAGCTTAACATTCATATCAGGCAAGGATACTGTCCATGTTTCAGATGTAAAAAACGGCTGCAGATTCATACAACTGTTTAGGTAGATAACCCCAAAGTTATCTGTGGAAATTCTAAACTTTTGGGTTTGTGTGACTTAAGAAGTTAAAATATAACATTTGTGAGACTGCACAAATCCAGATTTGAGTCTCAGGCCAATACTGGGCAGTGGGTTTTGGGCATTTTTGTACCGTGGAATTCCTACAGCTGTCTAAGAAATGACTGAGTGACACTAAAATGTGTGCTTTTTTACCCAAACTTCCCTCTGAAGTATTTAGTTAACAATCTAAATATTTCTGATCAGCCAGAATTTATTAGAGTAGTTGTGATTTGTAATTCATTCATAGAACAAGATGTGTGGGGATGGACTTAGATTCCTTCTTGCTTCTAATGCATCTATTTTAAACCATGGCTGTGTGACAAAGGAAGAACTGACATAGTTTTTTGACTAACAGATACAGAGGTGAAGTATGTAGCACAAAGAAGAATCTGGTCATCTAATTCACTTCAGAAGTAGGAACAGGCAAAAATATCTTGATCTATATTGTTCGGTGTTCATCCCTAAGCTGTGAAGTGTACAGCACTTAGAGTTTACCTGCCTTTTCAATATTAATTCTGACATGTTAAAGCAGTTGTCTAAATTAGTAGGAAATGCTATCAAACATTTGCAGGATGAAATTTGTAAGTATCCACTTAGTACAGATGTACCTCTTAGCATTATGTACACCAGCTACCAGAATGAATTGTCTAAACAAATGTAATTCAGTTTGTGCATCTGCAAGTGAGAGCGAATGAAAACCAACCAAAAAATCGTACTGCCATGAATGCCCCTTTGTAGAGTCTGCAGTGGAATGCGTAGTTGACTTTGTTAAAATTATACAGAAAGTAAAATCCTTGTTAGCACTGAAATTTTGCTAGCAGTGCAACTTACACAGAGGGTACAGTGAGTGATCATCTCCTCAGATACAGTTACGGAGTTAGCACAGAAAGCACTGTGTCATTTGATTTTTACGCATCTGGAGTAGAAGTCTCTCTAGTAATATTTTAAATGAAACATTTTCACCACTTAGAGAAAATCCATACCA